ACGTGGAGCTCCACCTTTAGTCCCGGTTGGTGAATCGGGACTAAAGGAAATTTTATGATTTTTTTTGAATTTTTTTTATTTTTTTTATTACCAAATTTCTGAATTATTTTAACCTCTAATCTCTAATCACCACCCCTCATTACTGCTCAATTTATCCTCTAATCTCTAATCATCCCTCATCATTACAAATCATCTAACTTCCCGAACGGTCACCCATCCTCCCACTCCCCAGCCTGAGCACGCTTAACTTCCGGGTTTTATTCTCCCTCGTTTTCAAGTCTGCACTTGTTGTTTTCCTGACAATAGTAAGATCTCAATCCTATTAACCCTCTGGAATTTTGCTTGAGCATGAAGTGACACATTTCACTGTTTGAGTTTGAAACTATTATTTTAAAAAACAATAATTATTTAGTAACACTAATATTTCTTGAATAATTAGTTTGACCAAAGTTTGACCAGATTTGACCAAAATTTAAAATAACTGAAATAATTATTTAGTAACACTAATATTCTAGAATAATTAGTTTGACCATTGTTTGACCACAGTTTGAAATTTTTTCGATTTTTTCCACTCTAGATCTTAAAAGCCCTGTAACTTTTTTTTTGTTAGGTTTTTGAGGATTTTGAAAATGTTTCCCCCGTTAAATTTGGATGTAACTTTTCGAGTAGATGATTTTTCATATAAAAAACTTTTTCATCCGAGTTAGTATGCAAAAGTTATGCCGATTTTACTAAATTCTAGAGAGATTTTGCAAATAAAGTCGAAATTCACATTTGCAAATTTTCCCAACAACTAGACCACATATCACATGGGAAACTTATTTTTTTATTTTTTTGACATTTTCATCATTTTCTTTTATTTTTTTAAACTGAAAAGGCAATCGGGGGGGGGGGGGTGGAGTTTGAAAATGGGACCTTTAGTACCGGTTCGTGCCATGAACCGGTACTAATGCCTCAAACCCCATTAGTACCGGTTGGTGGCTTGAACCGGGACTAAAGGTCTAACCTTTAGTACCGGTTGGTGCCACGAACCGGTACTAATGGACATCGCACCCTTTAGTCTCGGTTCGTGGCACCAACCGGGACTAAAAGGTCCAGACGAACTGGGACAAATGGCCCACGTGGCCCTTGGCGCACAAACCGGGACTAATGCCCCCATTAGTCCCGGTTCTAGACTGAACCGGGACTAATGGGCTAACCCGACCTGTACCAAGGCCCTCTTTTCTACCAGTGGGGGTTGCTTAGAACAAATGCTTGCACAGATGAGATTAAGCTGGACTCGCGCTTTTGCGGCAATGCATTGCAGGCTGCGCATCTCTTTTCAGCGACAGCAGACACAGCATGGCCCCATGACTTTAGAATGAAAAATTCATTTCAAATGGTGTTTGTTTAGATAAGAAAAAAAAAAGTAAGCCTACATAGGGGGAAGGTCGACAATAATGCATTTGCAAAACAAATGTCAAGCACACCAACACTACCTCCATTACAAAACACTCCAAATACTTTGAGCATAAGTAGAATCGTACTACTAGTATTTTCGCAAAAAAAAAGAAGAAGAATCGTACTACTAGTAAACAGATGGACGTTGGGCACCCAGTTGAGCTATACCTAGCTCTCACAAGTCTACGGTCCAGAACGCATGCAGGTGACCCAAGTGCAAAGCACGCCGGACGAGGCCACAAAATCGTTGCGGCCCGAAAGAGCAATTCTACACGAGCGCTCTCTCTTCGTGCCAAACATTTGGTGCCATATATATTCATGCTACCAGTACCTTTCCAAGGGAAACCAAGGCAACCTAACGAAGCAGGCAGGGTACAGCACGAAAGGTATATGGCCTTATGGGGGAATTAAACGTGCACCCCCACCGCAAGAAACGCTTTTCTTGCCATGTACCCATGCCCACATGACCATTTGCGCGTGAATGATGCCGTCGTCGATCCAGTCATGCGCATGGCATGATTTGTGGGTACTGCCTTTTTCATGTTAGGCGTGTCCTCATATCTTGTTAGGAGTACCAAGTAGATCTTGCACGTGACTCTGTGTTCAAGTCACGCCGTCTGTGTGATTTCGGGGTGTTTTCATTGGACACAAGTACTACCCACTGCACACCAAAAAAACACTACAACCATTCAGATACAAAAGAACTCTTTTTTTTTCTGGTGTTTACAAAAAAACTTTTAACTTGTGATTAACAAAATATGGACAATATGCCACATGCGAATCCACTGGTATAATTTTTCGAAATGTTCCGCCAACTGCTATGAGTGAGAGGCAAGAGCCGAAAATTTTGGTTATATGATGGAGTAATTGGCTCGCGAGCGAGCCAATGCCACATTGGACTGAATGCTAGGGCAGTTCAACCAATGTCTATTAGCTAGGTTGGTGGTAAGTAACCGGCCTAGTGTATAAGAGCATCTACAACCGAAACCCTCATATCGTTCTAATATATTCGGTCGGACAGTCCAGTCACTGCCCGGTCACAAATTTGCCACCCAACTCGACCCCTCGAATTGCCCTACAAGTCCGGGCTGTCCGACACCCCCAGACCCAACGGACAGGGCCACCACAACGGATACGGCCCTCGCTAGACCACCCACGTCCCCACACATACCCCACATTGTACCAAACCCTTGTAGTCCACACGCTTTTCGACTGCTCCGATTCCACCGTGTGTCTCCTCACCTCCCTCCAACATGTATGGCTCTGGCAACGAATCCGGCTTCAACGACTGGGATGGGATCTTGAACAAGGACTACGGCAGCAGAGCCCCGGGCAGCGAGGAACTCGAGCTACACGCCATCCCTGGTGGTCCGATAGGCAAGCTCCATGGCCAAACATGTCAGGTCGTCTCGTCCTGGCCCCAACCTATCGCGCTATGTGGTTGTCCCCTCTAGCAGCTGCTCCTCGCAACCCACGATGGGTGCTTGTGCGAGCACCACCTAGCCTACGAGTACGACAACTGCTCCTAGATTTGGCACCGCTGCTCACATTTTTCTAAATTTATTTCATGCCTTCAGGGGATGTGCATTTAATGGGAGGAGACGTTCTCATCGATTACGAAGGCATCTGTGACGGCTTCGTCAATCTCAATATGATGTGCCATCTCAGTCTCTTGAAGGTGCCTATAGGAGTAGGGTGTGCGTACATGCGTTCCTAGGGGTAAGTGTATGTGCGTTTGGGTTTGTACCGTGTTAGAAAAAAGATCTAACGCCTTGTGCCACGTCAGAGACCCTGCTACATCGTGTCATCGACAAACCCTCCATAAAAAAAAAGCGAGCCAGATCTGACATGACCCAACTATGGAAGGGTATGATGACCCTGACATGTTTTCGAAGAAGCACCAAAGACATTGTCCAGTTCAATGCCACATGCTCGCTCCGATTGGGTTTGGAAGTCGGGCACAATTTTTAGGCCTTACAAACATGACTAGTGAAACATGTGTATATCTTTAGATTCCTCGCAGTATGAAGTTTATTAGCATTTTTTTACGTCATATTACAAATATTTTATTGGTCAAAATGAAGATCCAAATCTCCATGCCCAACTAATACACCCAACTAGAGGGAGTACTATCAGTTTGAATGCCACAACCATGGTATAATGGCGAAAGTGGACATATCTCAGATGGTTAGGTTCCCTGTGGTGGAACCAGACTACCAGGGTTTAAGTTCCTAGACTTCGCACCGGTGCTCATTCATTGCAAATTTTGTTGGTAGCTTATCAAGTATGGCATTATATCGCATATAACTTATTTTGAGTCGCTATTATGCCACATATACTACTCCTACTAACATGCTTTTTTTAGTGGGACTAATATGCTTTTTAAGGAAAAATATTATTGACATAGTAACTCCCACCTTTTTCTTAAATGTTGCCGCACTTGCGTTTGTGGATTGCCACGAAGGAAGCGTGGCAAACTACTACTCCCTCCGTTCCTAAATATAAGTCTTTGTAGAGATTTCACTATGAACCACATACGGATGTATATAGATGCATTTAGAGTGTAGATTCACTCATTTTGCTTCGTATGTAGTCACTTGTTGAAATCTCTACAAAAACTTATATTTAGAAACGGAGGGAGTACAAATGAAGCGTGGCGAACTATTGGCCATGGACCGGACATGTGTGCTTGCCGGTCATAGGTCGAGACGAGGGCCAACATTCGCCGGAGTAGTTTTGAAACTTTCGCCGGAGTTAAGTTGAAGAGGGGAGTGACTCGCCGGCGCGGCGAAAGAGACCCACCTTGGCCCGATGCATCATCGATCGTGCGGCCGCGCGGATCAGAAAAGAATTCCGCGCGAATCAGCCTGTGGTTGAGTTGGTTAGGTCGACAGTGGTATCCCCAACCCATCAGGGTTCAAATCCTGATGCTCGCATTATTCCTGGATTTATTTCAGAATTTCCGGCGATGCGCTTTCAGTAGGAGGAGACGTTCCCGTCGACGACGAGGCGCCTACGGTGACTTCGTAAATCTTAAGATGATATGCCGGCTCAGTCTTTCGAAGGTGCTCATAGGGATAGAGTGTGCGTGTTTGTTCATAGAGATGAGTGTATGCGCGTGTATATGAGCGCTTATGTCTGATGCTAAAAAAAAAAATCCGCGACACAAGAAGGGGATGAGCCGTGGACACGGTCTCCCTCGGCCGTTGGCGTAATCCGGCAATCCGCGATGGAATCGACGCGTGCGGGACCCGGCCTCCCCTCTCACTGTCAACCACGGGCCCACAGTCAGAGACCACACGCAACCTACAGCGTAGCCCACGCACGCACAGCTAGCCGGACTCACACACCTTCCTCCGCTCCTTCCTCGGCTCCGAATCTCTCCAATGGTGGCTGCCTCCTCCATCCATCTATAAATACCCGACGTCTCGCTCCGGAACGAACCTGCAACCACCGCAGAGCACGCCGTCGATCGAATCGAGCGACCCAGAGCCAAGCCAATCCGAGCCGAGAGTTTCTTCTCCGTTGCCAGCGCCGCCGAGCAGACGACGGCGACGACGATGGGCAAGATCAAGATGCCGGCCCTCTTCCGCCGCCGCTCCTCCTCCAAGTCGCGCTCCGCGTCGCCGCCGCCTACTCCCCAGGAGGAAGAGGGCACCCGGCCGGCGTCGGGCGCGGGGTCCCCGGCGCGGTCGGCGGAGGAGGAGATGGAGCGGGTGTTCCGCAAGTTCGACGCCAACGGCGACGGCCGGATCTCGCGGCCGGAGCTGGCGGCCCTGTTCGAGAGCCTGGGCCACGCGGCCACGGAGGACGAGCTGACCCGCATGATGGCGGAGGCGGACGCGGACGGCGACGGCTTCATCAGCCTGGAGGAGTTCGCGGCGCTCAACGCCACGGCGGCCGGCGACGACGAGGAGGACCTGCGGCTGGCCTTCAAGGTGTTCGACGCGGACGGCAGCGGCGACATCTCGGCCGCGGAGCTGGCGAGCGTGCTCCACGGCCTCGGCGAGAAGGCGACGGTGCAGCAGTGCCGGCGCATGATCGAGGGCGTGGACAAGAACGGCGACGGCCTCATCTCCTTCGACGAGTTCAAGGTCATGATGGCCTCCGGCTTGGCCGCCAAGATGGCCTGACCCGTCCATCCTCTTGTTGATTCAGCGATTTCGTCCACGCCTCCCTCCCTCCTTCCTCTCGCGTGCCGTGCGGTGCGGTGCGGATTAAGTGCGAATTAAGTGTACATAATTCAAGGATTAAAGGGCGGCCATTAGAGTAGATTATTTCTTTCGTTTCTTGGTGGTGCGAGTAATAACTAGAAATCTCTCGCGAATAACTGTGTCGCGAATATCGATCTGAGATCAAAGAGATTGACGAGGCTTGAAGGGGATATAAAAAGCAGTGGTTGATGGTTAATTGGACTCTTTGCCACATTGTTCTTGTCATCTCTGCTTTCAGTTTCACCTTCTTTTCACGCGCTTGTGAGCTGTGGGTGGTGGTGACGTCTGAGGACCAGATTATTAGATGATTGGGATGTCTGGATCTGTGTTTCTGTTGAGAATCTGGATGTATGGACGCCCATAACCTGGAAACTGCAGCGCCATCTTATTCTTGGCCCGTCGGTTCTGCTCGTCTCGTTGTTTGGTTTTGCAGTTGCGTCCAAGAGGGTCTTCGTTCGTCTTCTGGGCTCGGATTATATTTAAGTAAGATCTAGACTTCGGCAGTAGGGTCGAGACTTTTTCGCTGCTGAAATATATATATACTGCGTACGTTTCTACTTCTTGCAGTAAAAGTGTAGTTGTGTAAAACACACTAGCTGAATTTGATAGGTGTAGCAAGTTGAAATTCAGGCCTCAGGCGTAGTACAATGCACGACTGCACTCGCTGCATGAGGGTAGAAATTTCTGCAGTGCCTTTGCAGGATGCCACTCCGATTTGGAACCTCTGCTCCTCGTGCTTCCAAACGGGTCCTGAACGCCAGGCCAAGCATAGTGGAGAGTAGAAAAACAGCACTTGCATTTTAAAACTGATGAGAGATTCCAGGACCTGAACCCTCCGAGCAGTCTTCTCTGGCTGAACCGGTAGTGCTCACTGCCGAAACATTCTTACCGATCTCGGAATATATATATATATATATATATATATATCTCTGGGATGAGATTATTTCGTCAGTAGTGTTGGTATCAAGCTTGGAACGTGGCCTCGCAGCCACTGACAGTGGAGCGAAGCCGGGAATATTCTCGAGGAAACGGGCAGCTGCTGATAAAACTGGCGGTAAACAATGCCGCAATGATTGATTGCAGCATCACAGCGGGGCCTGCGGTGGGGGAACTTCTCCAAGCATACCTCGTTCCTCGTAGTTTATCTGGCCACTTGCAGCAGAAGAATAAGCTGCAAGATTTGGTCTCGCGCTTCACAGCTTTATTCTAATCCGCAGACTGCTGCAAGTGGATTAAGCATATACGTAAGCAGGAAGAAAAATAAAAACATACCATGCCACGAATAAAAGATGCATTGCGCCGAGATGCGTGCGGCTTTTACTGGGCCAGCTACCCGGCCCGGCCCGGCTCTCCACGTGCACCTGCTTCGGCCCGCTCCGCTCGTCTCGCTCATCCATGTGCTCCGCTTGCACCGCTGTGGGAGCGGGGAGGGAGGATGAGTGGCTTGGCCTTCGCGAGCGTGTTCCAGGTCTCGCTGCTACCTGCTGATTTTATTTTGTTTTTGGTTACCTGCTGAATTTTGCTGCCTGGAGTGTGAAGGAATCTCTTGTAAACAATGACCCCAAGAACAGGCCTTATTTTTAGGAGAAAAATGAATCCACATCAGTGTTAAACACGCGATGAAAGCTAAGTACCAACAGCCAGGAGAGAAAGTTATGGCATCCATTACAAAAGGCTCTGAAAACAACACACAACACATCATCAGCCACCAAGCAGAAGTTTAAAAAAATAATTAAGAACAAGCCTAATTTCTTCAGATTGGCTGCTGTTAGTTGGTTTCTGACATGAGTTTTGGCCTATGATTCTCGGTTTGGTTCATCCACAATGTGAGTGCTGTTATTCTGTTATATGCAAAACGACCGACGAATAAACAGATACTCCCTCCGTCCGGAAATACTTGTCGGAGTAATAGATGCATCTAGACATATTTTAGTTTTAGATACATCCATTTTTATGCATTTTTGAGACAAGTATTTCCGGACGGAGGGAGTACATTACTGACCACTGAGGGCTCAGACATCTAGAATGCCTGAAAGTGTTGGTCTCCCACTCTCCTACAATAACACCAGCTGACGCCAACCATGTTTCACATTACGGAAGATGATTTTGTTCTTTGTCATGCTTCCGGGAAAGGTTCAAGCTCATACTGTACAAGGCAATGACGATGCCATTGTGCTCCCAAAATCAGACTGCTTTAGTTTGGGACATGCTCAAGGCCTGGCTTCAGCTTGACTGCATTGATGCATCTTCGTGGACACTGCGACATTCTATAAACGAGTGGTGGATTGGGCTTACCGACTGCAACATCCCCAACAGGAGCGCGATGGCATCTCTTGTAATGTTAACCTCTTGGGTTGTTTGGGGTTAACGAAACCCTCGCGTCTTTCGGCACAAAAGCGCACCGCCACTGATTCTTCTAAACATCATCAAATAGGAGGTGGCTCACTCAATAACCGCCGGTGCAAAAAAGTTGAATCCAATTTTACCTGGACAGTAATCCGCTTTGTATTCTTGGGGTGTGCTGTAACACAAATGAACTCTCTATTCTCCTCCTTATTTAATAGACGAGGCAATTTTTTTGCCTCTGTTTTTTTTTTAAAAAAACTGCTTAGCTTGGCAGTCGAGAAGAAAAACTCTGTTCGGGTATTTCAACCCCAAGTGCAGGTTCCCTTGAGAAACTGTCACAAAACACTATGAACTACTCCCTCTGTCCCATAATATAAGAGGGTTTTTTATACTAATGTAGTGTTAAAAATATTCTTATATTATAGGACGGAGGGAGTAACATGTAGGTTTACATGTAAAGTTGATTCAATCCAGTACGCTGACTGGTTGTTAATCCACCAGAATTTACCATGAGCCACCTCCCAACTAACCTACAATATTTTAGCTATATTTCTGCGCCAATGCTATTTTAGTACTCCCTTCATCCTGAAATACTTGTCGGAGAAATGCATAAAAATGGATGTATCTAGAACTAAAATACGTCTAGATAAATCCATTCCCCCTACAAGTATTTTCGGACGGAGGGAGTAGTACCAACAGTCTCTAGGGTGCTGTTTGGGATACGTTTTTTTCTGTCCGGTATTTCTGAACTTGTCGTCTGCTTTGCCTCCCGGAATAGATGCCACTGCAAAGATTCTTCGGTTTTTACTTTCAGACGCCCATGTACGCTAGCCGAGCATAGTGGAGCATTAGTCAAACACGGGAGAAGCATGCAACACTTGCACTTGTTTAAAGCGAGAATCCAGAACCTGAATCTTTCTGCCCAGTGACCAGCATAATCCGATTATGTTCTTCAGTGTCAAGACATTCTTACTGATCGTATCGTAGAGCATAATTATTCAGAGTTTAGGACTCTGTCCGTTTTTATTTAGTTTGCGTATTAGATTTGGCTGAAGCCAAACTTCGTAAAGTTTGACCAAATTTATAAAAAACAATATAAACATTTACCATATCCAATCTATATGATGTGAAAGTATAATTAATAATGAATCTAATGGTATTGATTTGTTATTGTATATGTTAATATTTTTTTAAAAACTTTATCAAAGTTTACAAAGCTTGACTTTCACCAAAATTAATATGCGAACTAAATAAAAACAGAGGAAATATACTATAGTAATGATGTAAGCAGAGATGGAACATGGCCTACCGAGTGATGATGAAAGCAGGGAATATTCCCTTGGAAATGGGCAGATAACATTGTGGTAATGGTTGCAGCATCCTACTGGCCGGTGGTGGAACTGCGCTCCCCGTAAGCAAAATACTCCTACGCAAGAAGATTTGGTTCCCCCTCATATGATCGGTTTGCTCTATACTAAAATGTAAGACGTTTTGTCTTTCGTTTGCATAGGCAATAGAAATCGTCCTACATTTTATGACTGCTTAAATGTGTGTTTATTTAGGCGAAAACGCTTCAAATCACCTGACTAAAAACAAAACTGCGTCCATCTCCTTTGGGCGTCACGTGCCCCCGTGGGGAACCACACCGCTTTTCCCCTTCCTTCTTATCTCCTCTCCCCCCAATCGAGCATTGATCTCACCGGCGTGAAGCTTTCCCTCCCCTCTCCCGGCACACCCTTTGCAGCAGACCTTGATCATTCACCACCCCGGTCTTGTAGCGTCGACCGCCATGAACTGTTGTTGGTGTCTTCCCTAATCTCTCCTCCTCTGATGCAGACCGAGACAGGGCACGAGAGTTGGTCTTCGCTACCCCCAAATACACCCGGAGCTCTTTAAGCTTGTCTCCCTCTCCCCTCCTCCTCCTCCTCCTCCTCCTCCTCCCCCCCCCTCCTCCTGACGCCATTAATTTATGTCGCAAGCTTCCCACCCACCATCAATGTTGCGAGCTCCGCAATTCTCTTCAATGCATTTTGCAACAAGGATGCTTTTGCAAGAAGGTTCATGTTACAATTAGGGTCTACAGTGGGGGCTATGTGTTATTTATAACCTGAGCTACTATCAAGTGGCCAAGTTCTGCAAGTTGAATTTCTTCTTTGGGAAAAAAGAAACTGCATTATTACATCAAGATGTGTGCAGCATGGGTTGGTTAGTTGGATGGATGGATGGAACGGGACGCCGTCCCACGTGTCCTTGCTTTGGCCCTCTCATCCATGCCTCGCACACCGCAGCGGAGTGGTGGAGTGTACCGACTGGGTTGGGGAGGGGAAGGAGCAGAGGGGATGAGCGGCGGCGGCGGAGTGCTGGGCGTCGGCTCGTCGTACCAGACCTCCGTCCGCACCGCGCTGGAGCACACCCGCCTCCGCACTGCCGTGATGCAATGGTGTTGGGAAATGCAATAGTGTTGACCTAGAAGCCCTCCGTGATCGATTCCCCCTCCGACAGATCGCCGGAAAAGGCCCCAAGATGGGATCTCACGGGTACAGAAGGTTGCGGCGGTGGAAAAGTGTTTTCGT